CTCTGTCCCACTCATGCTGTGCCCAGTGTGCAGGATGGCTGAACCTGGAGCTGGGAGCCCCTCTGAGCTTGGCATCCTACTCTTGTAAGGCGGTGTCTCCTCATGGGCCAGGTAGTTGCATCCCATCCCTGCGGAGCTGCGCAGGCCAGACCAGGCCTCATCTCGGGTGCTGCTGGATACCACTGCCTGCCTGTCAGCCGCAGCCTGAGCCCATGGGCTGCCCCAGGGCTCTCTGCTTCCTGCCCAGGCCCTGCCTTTCCAAGGGGCCAGCCAAACCGGCCTGCTTCCCCCTGTGCTGCCTGTACTATGCTCCGAGCGCCTGGCCTTGGCAGTCCTGTGCTGCCCCCACCTGGGTGGGGTGGGGTGGGGCATCTGTCTGCCTGAGCTATGGCCAGACCTTCCTTCCTAGGCCTGGGCCTGGGTTTCCCCTGCTCTGGGACCATCAAGGAGGCCTGAGCCCCCCAGCCCTGGTGGCTGCTGCCTCCCTCTGCTGGGTACTGCCCTGAATCAGCAGGCTTGAGCTGCGGTGCATAGCAGTGGAAGACATTGGTGGCAAGGCGCACACCTTCCTTTTTCCTTTTTTTTTTTTCCTTTCTCTTTCCCTCTTTCTGTTTTTTCTCTTTTTCTCTCTCTCTCCGTCTCCTCTCATCGCAACAAAAAAATATACAACAACAAAGGTAGTATACGAAGTTTTATTTATTGACACCAGGTTTAGAATTTTTAGAAAACCTGGCATTTACCGTTTTAAAAAAAAGGAGCAATTATGATTAATTATATTAATATGCCATGCATCCTGCCATGTCTTCCCCGTCCTGGTTTTGTTTTTCTGGCATGCCAGCACTCCAGCACCTTACAAGGTAGACATTGCGGTTTTTTCAACACTCCGGTGGCCAAAAATGTTGCCTATCCCGGTCTAAATTCCTTCTGCTTTTCCATTGTTTTTTTTTATTTAAAGTGCAGGAAAAATACGATCCCAGGTAAGGAGAAAGTGTCTCCAGGTGCTGCATCATACAGTCTCACTTGTCCAGGGATGCTCATACTCAGAAGTACCATTAGCTTTCTGCTGGCATTTTGCCAACTTGTAATGCACAGAAATGCATATGGCGAGATTCTGTTCCAAAATTCCTAAGTGGACTTAGGTGCCTAAGAGCAATTCTGTTCCACTTTATTCAAGTCCCTGAAAACTGATTAATGCATCCATTTTTGTAACATATTGTAAGCCGCTGTGGGGTGCACTTGCACAGCTGGCATTTTTTCTGAAGCATGTCTGGCCAGGCACCTCTGCCACTGGGCACTTTTGTTCCAGCTGCCCGGAGTCCAACCATTGGTGTAGTATGCCCTGCCCTAATGATGATTCTGGTGATCTCCCTGTGGTCTTGCAGCAAATGGGAGGATGAAATGCAGTCTTTGGCTTGATCCTTATTTATTTAATTTTTTGGCTCAGAGAGACTGTCTAGGTGCCAAAGAGCCTGATTCAGTGCTTGCTGAATCTGTGGAAAGTCTCCCATTGACTTTGGTGGCCTTTAAATCAGGTATAATTTTGTCTAGTAGTTCCTACACAAATATCTGGTATTAGAAAATTTTGAGGTCTGAGTTTTATAGGACTTTTAAGTTCTATGTGTTGTAGAGCTTATAAAATTTGAAGTCTTAACTTTTATAGCCTCTTGTAGAAAAAGGAGGTGTGTGGAATGAGTGCTGCTCTTCTACCATTTCATTACATTTTCTGTCTGTATTCAAGGCATTTATGTAAATATGCTTTGCCAGAAGAGAGAACCAAAACGTCTGACTTTATAGACTAACCCACAAGCTATTGTACAGCTGTTGTGGAAAACTCTAAATATAATATTGGATTTGCTTCAAACCACCATCCTATAAAGGTCTCTGCTGCTGTAACCAGCCCCGTTTTTGTCTCTCTGTTCAGGGTGCCTGGCCAGACTCACTGAGACCAAGGGGTGGGGAGGGAACAACTGGTCAACCATCCCTTGGCATAAGCAAAGCTGAATGAAGAACTGACAGCTCTCCAAATAGGGGACAGTACTTTCCCGATGAGACTTCAGAACTTGAGATGTGCTGTGAAATAGAAAATGTGTCAGGGGGGAATGATTTCCTTGCTTTCTCACCTTATATAGGATGTGGGTAATGCCAAGCTATTCATTGTATCGTTCTCATGCACTTACTCTTGCGTGCTTCCTTTCGCCATTGACAGACGCTGCAAAAGACTTTGAAAGCTACAAGGGATTTAGTTGGTTTGCAGGGTACTGTTTAAGCAGATGTTTGGCAGCTTTACCTGATTGCAGACTGGAGTGACCCAAATAGGGTATGAGATGTGCTGGCACTAGGACCTAGCTGCCACCCTTCCTCCACCCTACCATGTTCCAGGTTTCCCTCGCTTTATGCTAAACATGCATTCCTGGAAAACAGCACATAATTCAAATTTGCATAAAGGAAACTCACTTTACAATGTAACAAATAGGGATATGTTCCAAGACCTTGACTATACTGACCCCCAGACCCATTTTTACCACTTTTACAAGAAAATTTTGATACTCACCAACAGCAGACGGTACACACAAGCACAGGGCACTATCATAATGGGGATGGCAGCTACAGAAATGAGTGTTGCAGACAACAAGGGAGGAGCACAGATCCAGACTATATTTTGGTGTGCTTCACTCCCACAGTGCATCACACAAAACAGTTGACTGCAGGCTTCTACCACACCAATCACATAAGAGTGAATTTACCTTGCACACAAAGAATTTTTGGTATAAAAAGGAACATTGCATAAGAGTGAATTTGCACATACTGAACCCACATAAAGCGAGGGGAAACCTATACAAGGAGGTTTCCTGCCACTGCTGCTGCCTTTTCCCACTGTGGGGCTACTGGTTTCCCACTGCACCATAAGAGAAGCTCCCTGCCATCAAAGACCAAGCTCCACAGATCCCATTCAGCCTATGGGTTCTATGTTGCCAACCCCTGGTTTAAGCAATGCGAGTTATACCATGTTGTGATTATAGACAAACACTCAAGACATAAGCATAAACTAGCCTATTTTCTGTTTATGCTGCTATATTGATCACCAGGTTCAATAAACATAGTTTTTTCTCATTCATGTATGCCTAACCATGAACTTCATGGTGGGGCAGTAGGCAACCTCTGCCAGACCATCTGTTTCTCGCTAACTTGCAGCAAGGTGTTCCCTGCGGGCTCATCTCCTGTTCAAACTCCTTCACTGTCCTGTTAGGGGGCATCTGTAAATGATCATTTCTGTTGCTACAGTGGAGTCTTCAAAAGCCTTTTTTCAGTGACAAATTAGAATAGCAGGTCTGGCTCTCCACTTGCCTGTACTGGTTTAAATCAGGAATGCAGGCCATCCTCGACTTACAACGTTTCGAGTTACAATGTTTTGCACTTAGAGTGTTTATAAATTGACACCCTGTGTCAACTTTATGGTGTCAGTTTTGACTTTACAACCCTTGATCTGATGCCATGTCATGCCAGTGGACAGGTTCGCTGTTTCACTCATCTCCGTGGAGAACATCTGTCCAAACTTCCTTGGAAACTTTTTTTTAAACAAAACAGACAAGACTCCAGAAGAACCTGCAGCCAAGACTCCTGAGAAGACTCCAGCCAAGAACCCTTCAAAAAGTCCAACCAAGAGCCTTTCAAAGAGTCCAGCAAAGTCACCTCAAAGAAGTCCTTCCAAATCAATATGATTGCTATTTACAATATAAATACATTAATGTAGCTATGTTACTCATCTATAATTGATCAAGTACAAAATTCTGGGATATTTTTGGTGAAAATAAGGTATCGGGCCTTGGTTCAGGAACCAATCCCACGTTTATAACGTTGTTTCTTATGAGAAAATAGGTTCCAAGTTACAACATTTTGACTTAAGACACGGTTTTCAGGAACCAATTGTGTCATAGGTCTGAGGACTGCCTGTAATGTAATGGAAGTCAAAATTCCAAGGAGCCAGTTGGGACACAGTATGAGTACTAACAGCAACGTTTGTCATGAGGACACATCCTGTATTTGAAGGGCTGCTAAGGTGCAATAGTGTAGAAATTCCTTTGCACACCTGAAGGAATGTTCTGTACAACAGCTGCGCAACAGCTGCACCCCAGCATCTGATCCTTCTGGACCACCAGTGCTGTAGAGTAGTGATGAATCAGGCCAAACAGCCTGATCTCCTTGGTATATCGTGTGGTGATATGACAGGAGGGTCACTAGATGGGGCTAGATTTATAGCATGATGTGACATGGATGGGGCAGGAGTGCTTTGTGCTTGATGTTATGCAGGACTTAACAGTCTGATGCTCCTGTGTCTGTACAAGATGAGTTATGAGGCATCTGAAGCTCTTGCCTAGCACTCTGGTTTCAGTGCCAGTATATTCAAACCCACCAGTCACACATTGAAGAAATAGGCTTTGGAAACGTTTGCTTTTTGGTTTGGGGTTGTTGCCAGATGCCTTTGAGTTGGCTGCAGAGAGTTGGGTAGAGCATGTACAAGGAAGACATGAAGACTTGGGAGGAAACTAGACCAGATTTGTAGATCATTAGAAATCTGCTGTATGGACCTCATTTTGCCTACAGGTGGGGTCATGGTAGTACTAAGATGGTGATGCTGGGAATACTGAGGCAGGAGCCTGAAGGTGAGGACCTTGGGGCAGCCACACATGAGCATTATGCTAGAGGAAAAAATACATTGCCTCCAGAGGAAGGTATCTGGGTTACAACTGGGGTAAAACTTCTCAGGTAGGAGTAGATTTAACTTTAGGCTTACCCACATGCATGCTCTGCAGTCCTTGAACTTTCTTCCCCACCTTGGAGCATTTGGGTTTTCCTGTCCAGATGTCTATGGCCATATGTTGTGGAAGATCTGTTGAGAGACTATTATCCACTCCTCTGAAAGCCTAGTATTTCTATATCTTTCACGTAGATAAATTACTCTATTTTATCTTAATTACAACTATTTCTGCTTGGAATTTCAGAATGATGACCTTCGAAACCTGTCCCTGTCTGGTCATGTTGGCTTCGACAGTCTTCCAGATCAGCTGGTCAACAAGTCAACGTCACAAGGCTTTTGCTTCAACATACTATGTGTTGGTAAGTTAATCTGCCCTGATGAGCAAAATGGCTTTTCAATTCGTGTGTGTTTTAAAGTGCTTCAGGGATTAACAGAAGGAGATCTGGAACAGCTGAATGTCTTGTTTGCCTATTATTCTTGAAAGTCTCTGGATTAGGGTCAGAGTGGAGAGCAGTAAGGGTGATGTTGTGGTAGAGGTCTGCTATAGACCTCTAGTCCAGGAAGTGGTGGATGAAGCTTTCTTTAGACAGTTAGCAGAAATTTCCTGATTACAGGCCCTGGTTCTCATGGGGGATTTCAATCACCCTGACATCTGCTGAGAGAGCAATACAGCAGTGCACAGGCAATCAAGGAAGTTTGTTGACAAACAACTAGGGGAGGAGTATAAGAGTATTGCTTGGGTATGCAAGGATGAAGTCAGGAAGGCCAAAGTGCAATTGGAGTTGCAGCTAGCAAGGGATGTGAAGGGTAACAAGAAGTGTTTCTACAAGTATATTGGTAACAAGAGGAAGATCAGGGAAAGTGCAGGTCACTTACTGAATGAGGGAGGCAACCTAGTGACAGAGAATGCGGAAAAGGCTAAAATTATGCCTTTTTCACCTCAGTTTTCACAGGCAAAGTCAGGTCCCAGGCTGGTACACTTGGCAGCACAGTTTGGGGAAGAGGTGGGCAGCCAACTGGGAAAAGAAGAGGTTAGGGCTGTGGCAGCCCAGG